GAAGGGTTGCGGCTTCTACAGCGACATGTGTTTGTGGTTTGCAGACGGCTGGACTAAGAATTCGAATTCTCATATATAAATAAATATATGTAAAATTTACATACGCATCCAATCCAGTGGGGGCCATTTAGTGAAAGCATGTCGGCATCTATTAGGAATTCACTTTCTTGCCAGAGCTCGGAGACGCTATGAAATCTAAAGAGAAACTGCACAGACTGAAATGAGAATAGCACCTTGGTTCCCACCAAACAAATAAATCTTGCACTCATTTGGGAGTTGGTTGGATGATCTGTTTTTTCCTGCACAGAGTGGTGCTATTTCTGAATCACTAAATGCTTGCAGGAGCAGAGACGATAGACTTAGTTCAGAACAGGGTCGGGATCAGTGCCTCAGAACGGCTTTCAAAGTGGGAAGAGAAAAACGTCCCCACCCACACGCGTCCAGTTCCCTGGGAGGTTATTCAAGCTAGTTAACATGACGTTAAGGGAAGGTTTCCAATAAGAGAGTTATCAGCAGTTTTCACTGTGGGAAGGTGAGAGAAAACAGTTGTCACTCCGAAGGGCTGTTAGAAGGATCAAATGAAATAACGTAAAAGACGTCTTTTTCAACTATAAAACATCATCATATCAATGTCAGGTTTCACCACTGTCGCTGTTGCCGGGAGCCAGCAACATTGAGTTATTCATTTGAGAAATTTATTAACGGGCTACTTTGTGCCAGGCAATATGCTGAGATGCTAAAGAAATAAGACCTAATTTATCCCCTAGAGGCTTCATTCAATTTAGAAAGACATATAATATAACATCATGACTCAGGCAATTTAAAGAAGCCACTAAAATGTCTAGACACACCAGTGGGATGGTGAGTCAGGCACTGCACACCGTGGTGCATAATGCAGTCTCACTCTGCTGCTTCTCAAAGTTTTCGTTTGAAAAAGTACCAATTCCTTTGGCAACCATGGTCACTCTCAGCTCTAACACCATGCCACCAGAAATAGATGCAGCCAAGGGAAGCCTTCCTTAGCGGGACCCGCTTCACAGTTGACTTGCCGTGTCTTTCCGAGTAATTCTCTCCTTTTTACCTGCTCCCTCTTTGGTTCTACTGACCATCAGTGACGTGTCTTGGTGTGGGGTGGAGTGAGGAAGGGTGAGGGTGTGGTGGGGGGTGAGGGTGTGGTGGGGGGTGAGGGTGGGCCAGCCATTGCAGACCAAGGCTAAGGGTAAATTTTGCCATGGGGGACCTGAATGTCTTGGGCAGCTGAAGAAAAGTTGCTCATCTCTGTTTGCCAGTCTTTAAGCTCAGGACTTTGTTCCTACATATACAGCTCCATGTTTATTAAATTCTTAGCGTCTTAACTAAGAATTTAGTGGGCTGCATGGAAGGGAACTTGAAAAAGTCATCTTTAAAGTGTGTGAGAGGAAGGATGTGTAGCACTTGTGAGGAGCAGGAGTGACCTGGAACCAGCCCCCAGGTGACCACTGAAAGTCTGGGACATCATTAGAAAATCAGTAGAATTTGAGACATAAAGACCTGGGGGTCTCTCAGGTCTCAGAATCCAAATAAACAGGATAAGCTTCAAGCAGCTCTGCTCAGGGTGGTGACATAGATCACAGAATCCATAGAACATGGGGACTCTAGAAGATCTAGATATTCTCTCCTTCATTCTACCCTTACCTCCATTCCCCCCACCCCACCTCTGCCCTTTGACAACTTTTCTAAAACCAATGAACCTCGGTTTCTTGCCTGCCTGATCACCAAAAGCCTAAGTCCACTCTCTGTTGTTGTCCTGCTTGGACAGGAGCCAGGGGCTCAGCCGCTGACTGTGAGCATCAGACGAGGCAGGCTCTCCCATTTTTCTTGGCAGGCCTCTGCCTCCTTGTGAAGAGCCCTGCAGCTGCCCCGGTTTCCTCCCCCTCTGCCTGGGGAGGAGTGAGTCAGTACACCCCCAGCGGACCATCCACGTGGACGCCTTCCTGTTCCTCTGCATAAACCACTCCAGGCACAGTTCTGCCTCCTGCTAGGCGATCTGACCCCTGACTGCAGCAACCTTGGGCAGAGCCTCCTTTGAAAGGCCTGTTAGCTGGTGAGGAGGCTGGGTGTCTGTTGCAGCTAGGGGGGTGAAGGGGATTCTGCTTCAAGACAGGCCGGCTCTGTGCGATCAATGTCAGTGGCAATACCAGTCCTATACTATCTCATTTAATCCTCACAACAAAACTAGGAAGCAGGCTAAAGTTATTCATTCATTCATTCATTCAACAAATATCATTGAGTGCCTACTACGTGCCTGGCATTATTTAAGGGGCTTAGGAGACATCAATGCGAAGATCTCTGCTTGTGCAGAGCTTACATTCTAAGGCAAAGGTGGGAGGGTGGAGGCAGATTTAAAAAAACCCAAAAACTTTTAATGTAAATGAGTAAATTATATTTTCTGGGCCGCTTCACTGTATTCTGCATGCCCTCCAGAATCATGTATTCGAACATTCATTCAGTAACTACTAAGCACTAAACACTACGTTCCAAGCACTGCACTAGGCGCCGGGCATGCAAAGATCAGTGAGTTCCCCGTATCCTCCAGATGCTCCCCGTTGAGGTGGAGAGAGGAAATCGTACAGGCGTGGTTAAAATGTAGTGTACTGAGTGCTGTAACAGAGGCATCTGTGAAGGGCGGGGGAACAGGGCCCTCACAGCCTGTCCTCCTGCTGCCCCGAGGCTGCCCGTCCTCCTCACTGCAGCCCGCTCTGGGCTGACTTCTCTTTCTCCCACTCTCCTTCCTGAACACGCCCCTCTGGGCCATCTAGTGTACCCCAACCCCGATGTACTCATTTGGAGCCTGACTAAGGGGAAGTCTTGCTAATGTGGTAATGGATTAACAGACTGAGTACTAGTTTGTTTCTTGCTCTTTCAGATAATTTGCTGACATTTTAACAGGATTTTAAAGCCTGGCAACAACGGGAGGTGGATTTCATTGCGGGAGTGCCATTCAGTAAGCAGCGTGGGGAAGGGACGACGGGGAAGGCTGAGCGTCGCAGGTCGCAGTGGCAGGCGCCTACCCACCCTCCCCACTCACTGGGGCCCGATCATCTTTAGAACCTTCATCCTTTCTTTGAAAACAGTTCTGGGCATCTGGATTTCCCTTTGCAAAAGCACCTTTGAAGTCAAGACATTTTTAGGGCTCAAAACAACTCAAAGATCTTTTAGTCCTGGGGGTTTCGACTTGTGATCCAGCACATCCACGAATGGCCTTCAGGGAGTTTGAGGGCTCCTGAGTTTTTGAAAACTTTTGTGTAAACATGCTTAAGTGCATTTTCTTTTTCCTGAAGACAAGGTCTATAGCTTTCATCAGATTCTTAAAAATCTCAGAGGGGCCGGCCCCGTGGCTTAGCGGTTAAGTGCGCGCGCTCCGCTACTGGCGGCCTGGGTTCGGATCCGGGCGCGCACCAACGCACCGCTTCTCCAGCCATGCTGAGGCTACATATCACATACAGCAACTAGAAGGATGTGCAACTATGACATACAACTATCTACTGGGGCTTTGGGGAAAAAAAGGAGGAGGATTGGCAATAGATGTTAGCTCAGAGCCGGTCTTCCTCAGCAAAAAAGAGAGGAGGATTGGCATGGATGTTAGCTCAGGGCTGATCTTCCTCACAAAAAAAAAAAAAAATCTCAGAGACCTGGAAAATGTGGTCACCATTTTAAGTGATGGACTTGAGGCTCCTTGGAGAAGTAAAGTGACTTTCTAGAGATGGCACAGTTACGGTGGGAAGACGAGGAAGGAAGTGGGCAGGAAGGAAAGGGGGAGGAGGGAAGGCAGAGAGAAGAGGGGTCAACAGAGGCACTTGAACTCATGTTTCTCATTGCCCACATCAGTGCTCCTTCCACTCTGCTCCAACACTTGACATCTTCAGGTCTTTGATTCAGGACCCGTTGGTTGTATCCTACACACTAGCCGTGCCTGCTCACCTGCTGTGGTGGGGTAAGAACTCATTGATGGAAGCAGTTTTGGAGAGCTGGAGGAGGTCTCTGCTCCATCGGATAGCAATGATATCAGCTGACTTGCAGCTCTGAATTCACTATTCACCATTACTTTAAACAGAAAAATGATAAGCTTTTGGAGCCGCCTGTCCCTAGAGACATTGTGCCCCACTTGTTACTCTGTGGGGTAATGATGTCTGGTTGCAGAGAATAAGCATAACCCAAGGCTGCCCTTCCAAGCCTCACACTGCAGAGAGATAAATCACTCGAGTGAGCCAGCTTTCAAACATGGACACTTTTGGATCCCTTTGTACAAGGCAGAAATGCCTGACTTGTTTGCCGACTGAAGAACTTGGGACAAGTTGTGTTGTCAACACCCAACGTTAAGTTGTCAGGGTAAATAAATATGTACACATTCCCCTAGTCAATTTGAAGGTGAAGTCAGGGGATATTTGGTATCAGCCCACAGGGTGGGAAAGGAACAATATTTCACAGAATGGAATTACAAATTGATCTGGAAAACACCAGCCTCTTTTCTCAGTCTATAATTACATCCTATGTTTGTCACTCTGACCTGTGACAGAATTGGTTTCTTCCAGAGAAGGTCTACAGGAAAAAATAGATTTGGCAGCCTGGGATGTGATGTTAGTGTGATAGAGTGAAGAGCACTGGAACAGGGTCGGTAGACCTCAGCTCTAGAGGTGACACCTCCATGAAATAGCTGGGTGGCTTTGGGCAAGTCACTTCCTTGCTCTATTGTTCTGATTGTTTCCTTTTCTGCAAAAAGAGGGGTGTGGGAGCATTGGGTTGATGACTTATAAGGTCCCTCCCAGTATGAATATTATTCTAGCCTTTTCATTCACTCATTCAGTCATTCATGCATCCATTCCCTTCTATTTGTTAGCTGCTGCATTCCAAGCATGTTTGTGACAGCCCAGGGTTATCTGAAGCCAGAAACACAGACCAGAGCACCCCCCAAGCTCCAGCCCTAGGAGTCATGAGGGGTCATGTTTGGCTGCCAGGCTCACCAGCAGGAATATGGGCATCTCTTGCTGTAGCGACAGCAATAAAATTGCCACTCCCGATCCAGCACTGACTCAAAGTAGCGGCTCTGGAACCCTGCCACCAGTCCGTTGTTGGAGCATGTCTGGTACCTGAAGAGAAGAGAACAAACTCAAGTAAACTAGTGACAAGGACACACGAACAGACCCCTTCCCAAGACCCCACCTCCCACAGTTACCGAGTCAGGCCACTCTTTCACTGACCTAGATTCTTAACAATTTATTCCATTTTTATGCAAATAATAAAGACTTTGCTACATTTATAAAAATGACATATGCTCATCATTAAAATTCAAATAATTCAGAATCTTTCAACTGAAGGAAATTTGGGGGACACTGCTCCTGACAGACCTTTGTGAATACATTGTTGGATGGAAGAATGCATAAATGGCTGGATATAGAGGCATCTAGAATTTTACAAATGCAAGATTGTATTATTCATGCCATTTAAAATAAAGGTAACATAATTCATTTTGCTAGAATTTAAAATAAAAGGAAGACAAAAGAGAAACACAATGAATTAATGAACTTCAAATAAACGTTTCTTCTGCTTAAGAGCAGAGCCCTGCAAATTAAGGATGCTCATTCGTTCTACCCCACACAGCAAACAAAGCCCAGATGGGCCCAGCGACTTGTCCGGGGTGACCCAGTGGAGAGTCTGGGACCACAACCCCAGGTTTGCACTACTTATCTGGGAATCTTTCTACTGCCCACCGGACTGTAAGCTCTACATGGCAGGGAGTGTTTTGGTTGAAATTCCATCCCCAGTGCCCACCGTGGGTCCTGGCATATGGAGGTACTTCTTTTTTTCCTGAGGAAGATTCTCCTTCAGCTAATATCTGTTGCCAATCTTCCTCTTTTTGTATGTGGGCCACTGCCACAGCATGGCCACTGACAAGTGGTGTAGGTCCACACCCCGGAACTGAACCCAGGTTGCCGAAGCAGAGTGTGCCAAACTTAACCACTAGGCCACCCAGGCTGGCCCTGGAAGCACTTCTTATAGAGTCGTGACAGGTCAACTGAACTCCTCAAATACCCTCTAAGGGTCTCATTCCTGTCCTAGCTGCTCAGTTCTAATTTGTCAAAGAAGATAACCCCCTCCTCTCTGGTCCACAGACCCTCCTAGTGTCCACATGAATTTTCACTCTTTCATTCTATCTGGGCTGCTGCTGGTCTAGGAATCGGCCCCCTTTATCTTCCTAGCACCTTCCTAACTAAGTGCTGGTTTGGCACAATATAATCATTTCCTCCTTTGTTCTGCCTCCAGTGTTACTTTCTCCCACTCCTGCCCCAAACTCCACCAGTGCATCAAGGCTTGCTGCCTTTTGCTGTGAGGGTGAGGATGCTGTTCTCTACCTGGCCACAGTGGGCTCCCAGCTTACACGGAGTGAGAACTTCCAAAATAGGTCTGTAGCTCCCTCTCTTTCTTTGCATTTTCTACCCACCTGGCCAGGGATCATGTTCCCTCTTATGACTGAGCCGTTCAGGCAGTTGTCTATGTGTCACGGCCTGACAGCTGCTGGAATACAACCCTATTTTCCAAGCAAAGATAAGTTTCCAGAAAATATAATAGATAAAGTCAGAATAAGTACCCTGTGCTGAGAGGTGAGAGGGACCTTGCTGACACATAAACTATAAAACAATGAGTGACTGGATTTCATTTTATTCTTTTTAATTGCTGGAAATGATCTTATGGATCTGACAAAACTAGATATTAAAGGTATTTCATGTCTCTGGTCAGAAAGCATCTGTCCTTTTCATTCATTTATTATTCATTTATTCATTCATGCATATATTCATTCAAATATGCTTTTATTTATTTGTTCATCCATTCAACAAACCTGTACTCTGCCACTATTCGGTATCAACCGCTGTGCTTCCTAGTTGAGAGAAGAATTGAGAGGTGGGCTTGGTGCTTGGTCAATCATGCAAATCAGCCTGAATCAAGTATAGGCGATATACCTGATGCAATAATGCAAATTAACTCTCTTTGAATTGTCAATTTCATGTTCTTTGGATAAATACCTAGTAGTGGGATAGCTGGATCATATGGTATTTCTATTTTTAATTTTTTGAGAAATCTCCACACTGTTTTCCATAGTGGCTGCACCAGTTTGCATTCCACCAGAGAGTTATGCACCCCTGTGTTCATTGCAACATTATTCACAATAGCCAAGATGTAGAAGCAACTCAAGTGCCCGTCAACGGATGAGTGGATAAAGAAGACGTGGTATATATACACATATACAATGGAATGCTACTCAGTCATACAAAGGACAAAATCGTGCCATTTGTGACAACATTGATGGATCTGGAGGGTATTATGCTAAGCAAAATAAGCCAGACAGAGAAAGACAAACACTGTATGATTTCACTCATATGTGGAAGATCAATAAACATATGGATAAGGAGAATAGATTAGTGGTTATCAGAGGCAAAGGGAGTGTGGGGAGGTGGGTGAACGAGGTAAAGGGACAGATATGTATGGTGACAGATAAAAACTAGACTATTGGAGGCGAACACAATGTAGTCTATACAGAAACTGATATATAATAATGTACGCCTGAATGCTACACAATGTTATAAGCCAATATGACCTCAATAAAATAATTTTAAAAACTAATAATGCAAATTAAGTTGTAAGTTGAGACCTCTGCCTTTTGATGCTCTAGCCTTCTTCACTCCACCATTGCCCACGTCTCATCAGGAGTATTACCACTTTGGAAAACACCTGGCACATTTCAGGAAGCCACGTGATTGGGAGAGATCACTAGGGTCTGGGACAGTGGAAGGGTAGCTTTGGGGACTGATCTTCCAGGATGGTCTACTCTGTCCTAATTCTAGCCATTTGAGTGGGACATAACTTCAACAGAAAGCTCTAAGAGTCATGAACAAAGCTCATCTTTGTCCAGAGAGAGAAGATGCCGCACGCTGGTGGTCCCCGTGATCTTCCTCCTTACCATCACTAAGATTCTGCCTTCCGTTAAAACAGCCCTTTCAGAACTGAGCCGGGCTGGGGTTTCCCTGGAGCTGTTGCTCCATTGTTTTGGTTTGTCCTGTGCACTCAGAGCACCACAGGGGACAGTGTTCCCATGGTGGTAAGTTCCCTTAAATAAAAATAAATGGAGCAAGATAAGCTGGCCTGTTTCATGGGGGACCAGTTCTGAAGGCAATCCAAATTCCATGAATTCTCTGCCAGCTGTCAGCCAGGCAGCTGGCCCCATGCTCCTGTATGGGAAGTGTGTGTGTCACTCTCTCACACACCACCTCAGATAACGCTACTCTGTAAAGATTATTTGGACACTAGAGGCCCAGGGCCTAAGAACACGTGGTGAAAGTCAGGTAACCAAACAGAACTCCCCTCTCCAGCTTCTGTCCCATTGCCTGCACATTTTGGTGGAGTGAGCCTGCACTGGAGTTTGGTAGTGCATGTGGCCAACGCAGTGAAATTCTTCCTTCCAGAACTGGATCTCTATAGGGGTATGTTTTCATACTCATGTGGGGAGCAGTACAGCAGGGTGGTTAAGAGCAGGGCTATGCCACTGGTCAGGTGCCCCAACCACTCCTGGCTGTGTCCCCTTGGGCAGGCTTCACACCCTCTAATGGCCTCAGTTTCCTCATCTGTCAAATGGGTATAATAATAGCACATACTTATTAAAGTTATTGTGAAGACAAAATAAGGCAATGCATATATAATTCTGAGGATGGTGTCTTTGAATGCTTAATAAATGACTTATTATTGTCATCGTACTTTAGTCCACATGGCAGTTGTGAGTATACTCTGTGACAGCCACCCTTGGCTCCCCAGTCTCCAGCCAGTGGATAGCCAGTGGATTCATATGCATTCCTTGAGCTGCTGTTTCCCTAAAGCAAAGCTCACGGAGGTTGGCTATCTTAGGTGCTGACGCACACGCACCTGTAGCACAGATACTTTAGTATGATGTATTGCCCCTGGTAGATAGTAAAGTCCTTGAGGAAAAAGACCATTTAATCTTCAATTTGAATTCTACACAGTGCCTGAAACTGGGGCCCATCAAATGTTTAATGGAGGAATGAATGACCAAATGGCTGATCAGGGCATCTTCCATTATCAGAGGCAGAATTGACTTTTAACAGCCCATCACGCAAATCCAGGAAGGGCCCTGAAACTCCCCCCAAGTGGTTTTCAGCCACTCAGGTGAGTGACTCATCTTCCCACTTCCACCTTCTCCCTCAGGAACAAAGCTGCTCCAGGATGAAGGTGCAGAATGAATACAGCTTTGGGTGTGCCTTGACTCCATTCCTCTCCCTTTCGATCACCTTTTTTTGTTAAGCACCTTATTTAACAAGATTCACCTAAACATAAGGCCACGCGGGAGGCAGGGGAGAAGAGGGGTGAGGGCAGCCCGTGAATGGGCGGGGACTGGGGGCGCTGGAGAGGGCTTGCATTGCCAAAGTGATTCAAATTCAATTTTTAGGAAACAGCTGGTGGTAAAGCTACCTGCCTGAGGCTCTGCTTCACTTCCCAGCACCGATGGGTGCTCCAGAACGGCTCACTGAAAAGAATATGGGCCCAAGACTACAGCTTTCCTGGTGAACTGTGACGGGGCCCCAGCTGAGCCATAGGCACAGATGCCCCAAGAACATTCCCTCAATATTTGAGGGCATGGGAGTGCATTGCTTCAGAGACTCTCCCTCTCCGTTTGAGAAGACCTACTTTCTTTCTCACCATCCCTTTAAAGGCTGGAGGCTCAATTTGTTTCACAAACTGGAGCATTGTTAGTCCCGCTCCACCTGACACTAGAAACTTTCTAGAAGGAAAATCACTCCCCTCTAGTTACCCCTCCGCTGACAACAATACTCATGGACCTTTTCTGAGAAAGTGGCCTTTCTGAAAGTGGTTTATCTCAGGGCCACCACCCTGAAAACAAAGACAGAAAACCTTCTTCTCTGTCTGCAGTAGTAAAACATAGAAGCAATGGAATAGAGGGGAAAGAGCCCTTGTTGAGGAACCAGCAGATATGCGTTCTGGTGCTAACCCTGACCTTCACATGCTGTGTGGAGCCTCACCTATGTCACCACAAGGATCAGATGAAACAGCACCTGCAAAACTC